CCCCAAAACCCCAAAACCCCAAAACCCCAAAACCCCAACACATGATTATTTAATTGAATTTATCCAAAAACATCTCTGACCCTTTACTTCTTAGCAAATATTTCTTTGAGACTTTGTTTCAACAAATTGATATTGTAGTTGATCAGATGTTTCTTCTGGAACTCTTCTTCGCCTATCAAGCACACAAGGACTAGATATTCATCAACCTCCTTAAGGTACAGGTAGGTATTTCCTGCTTCATCATCAGCATTGTCCCCTTTCTTCAGCTTTATAGTAGTACTACTCTCCTCATCAAACTTAAGATTGTCTTTGCCATAAATACAACTCATGTCTATCAACACATCGATCAATTCAGAACAGATTTCGTAATGAGTAATGTCAACTGGACTAGAATCAGTTGCAATAAAGATCTTTGAGATAATATCAAATATGAAAGCTTTTTCAACACCGCAGCTAGTATGGAGAGAATTCAGCATTTCGATCAAATGCTCCACAAAGGGGAACAACTTCTGAACAATTTTAGACAGAGCGTCAAAGATTGTATGATCATAAATCGATGTCAAATAAAAGGTAATGTTGACATTAATATCCGCTTCCTTAAGTTCATTCCTTATCTCTCTCTGGAAATCATTATAGACCTCCATCTTTTGATCATCGTTCTGGTAGAGATCACTATCAACCTTATGCACAAATACTTCATAATAGATCTTCTCATTTACCTTGGAAGCCTCTGCAATAATGTCCTTTAGCTTTCCACATGATTCCTCGATGTCACCTATCTGGGCATCAAAGACGTAAATGATAGCCCCTGTTTGCTCTAGAATGGCTCTGTCAGCCTCTGCATCGAACTCTTTGTTTCCTGGAAAATCTTTTATTGTGAACTATTTAGAGATAAACAGTGAAAATATGGGAAGAAAGGGGCAGAGGTTTTTATAATAGAGAAAGTTTGGTTAAGAATTGCCCACTAATATTTCAAGCAAGGCTTTTAGTCAAGGTTTTGGAGAAGTTAGATCTGACTTCAGTCGCTTATTAATAATAAAGAGAGTGGTAATTGAAAAGAAACTTTAAGAGACTGCTGTAAACCCAAAACAAGCTTATTGATTGCTAAACAATGTATTTCTTTCTCAGTCCTGTGATATTCCGATTTTCATACCTGCACATTAGGATTGTTCTCCACAGTGAGTGTTTCCACTGACATAGTGGGTGGCAAGAAGAAGGACTCATGAGGAGACAACTTCTTGAACACAACTCTTTGAATAGAGGTCTTTCCGCTCTTTGATGGGCCAACCAAAAGGATATCCATTTTTTGCAAGAGTATTATTATTAATTAAACCCTAGAGGTGGGGTTTTGGGGTTTTGGGGTTTTGGGGTTTTGGGGTTTTGGGGTTTTGGGGTTTTGGGGTTTTGGGG